CCCAGGTGATTCTTAAGTATCTATAAGATTCACCAGGGGATCTTGTTAAATTTTAATTTAGATTTAGTATATGAGGAGGCAAGTTGTCCTGGTAGCTTAGTGGGGTGCACATGGGCAGTTCAAATCCACCAGCTGCTCCCTAAGAGAAAGATAAGGCATTCTGCTCCTATGAAGATTTATACCCTTGGAGCCCTATACAAGGTCACTGTGAGTTGGAACCCACCACCACCATGTGATGGAGCTTCAAATAGTCCATTCAAAAATGAACTTAAAAATAGGTGGAATTTTTCCATTAACGTTTTGACACTGTTTGTATCTTGGTGGAAAGGCAAATTCTCAGCAGGAGATTGAACTGGAATGAACAAGTTCAAAAGCCTGACAAAGGCAAACAGCAGTAGTGTAAATAAAGCTTAAAATTATAGTTGTTGTTAAGTGCCATCAAGTTGGTTCTGACTTACAGAGATCCTGTATACGCTTTCCAAGGAGCAGCTGGTTGGTTTGAACCACTGACCTTGTAGTTCAAACTGGCCTTGCAGTCCAGTGCATTAACCTGAAGTGCCACATAACCAAGAAATTGAAGCCTAGAGATTAGCTCATTGGACCATACTGTGGATTTGTCCTTGGGCAAGGCTTGGTGACCCACCAGTTTGATCACTGCCCCCAAGAAGTTTCACCTAGTTGTGGTGGTTCAAGGCTTTGACAACTTAATGAAAACAATTAAATATGTACTCTGTCATGAAGTTTCAAGTTTATTTAGATCCCATTCAGAAATTTCAGTAACTGACATATGAGTATAAAATGATGACCCCTAAAAAGACAACTGTAAATGAAATGAAAATGAAATTCAACCTGAGATTAAAAGAGCTTAAAATAATGTAAATCATTTTCTTTGGGAAATGATATACTCATCTGTTGATTGATTTAGACATATATAATTATAATATTTGGACTTCTGGTGTGGTGCTATGAGATCAGCACTGGACTGCAAACCACCAGGTCCTCAGTTCAAATCCACCAGCCACTCCTGGGAAACACTGTTGTTGTTGTTAAGTGCCGTCAAGTAGGTTCCAACCCATAGCGACCCTGTATAGGGTTTCCAAGGAGCAGCTGGTGTGCTTGAACCACCAACCTTACAGTTCAAATGGCTTTGCAGTCTGACGCATTAACCCACAATGCCACACCAGGACTCCTTGGGAACACTATACTGGGTGAATAGGAGTTGGAACTGACTCAGTGGCACTTAACAGCAATTATAATATTTTTATGTCTTATTTCATAAGTCGGTTCCGATTCGATTGCACCTGACAACAACAACAATAACATTTCCTAAGTTAACTTTCAAAACCATAATTTTAATCATGCTATCCGTGAGTTAAAAACCTTCAGTGGATCCCAGTTGCCTATAGTAGTGATTTGCAACCTTTTTCCCATTATGACAAGTGTGATAGAGGATGGACCCTATTTTTCTGAGCTGGCCCATTCACATCTACTACTGTTCCCTGGAAGAAACTTTTATTTATGTCGTGGACACTAGACCTAAAGCTAATGCAATAGCAAGCCATACTGCACGAAAAGGATATGAGAATGAAGACAATTATTCCAATATAAAGTGTCACTTTATTGGGATAGAGGAACAGTCTGCAAAAATGCTGGAAGTGTGAACTTAACTATTCCTTGATGATTGATTTTCTGTGGGGACTAGAGAACACTGATTGACTTACGCTATCATGGATGTACGACTCGTCATAGCAAAGGCCATTTCTAAGAAAGGAACAAATATGCTTGTTCACTGTTCTGATGACTGGGATAGGATGGTACGAATGTGCTTGGTGGCCATTCTCCTGCTGGATCCATACTACTGGACTCTGAAGGAGTATTCATCGAAAAGGGCTGGATTTCCTTTGGACATAAGTTTAATCACAAATGTGGTAGATACGGTGATCCAAAAGAAATCTCTCCAGTTATTAACCAGCTCACTGAATGTGTTTGACAGTTCATAGAGCAATTCCCCTGTACCTTTGAGTTCAATGAGAGATTTTTGATTCACATTCAACATCACATTTATTCCTGACAGTTTGGAAATTTCCTATGTAATAGTCTAAAGGATAGATGAGAACTCAAAATTCAAGAAAGAACATACTCTTTATGGGCTTACCTGTGGAAGAACTGAGCCAACTACCTTAATCCTCTATTTGGAGCTGATCATTGTCAAATTCATGAAACTCTTCATCGTCCTGCAACACCATGCAACCTCATGTACAAATTTTGGAGTGGCATGTGCAGCCACTTTAAAAGGGATGCAACCTCTACAATCAGTCACAGATTACCTGATGACCATAAAGGAGGAAACTCAGCAGCTGGAGGAAGAACTAGAGGCCCTAGAAGAATGAAACCACTCTAGTTTGTTATCTTCACAACCCACTTGGACTCTTCATTCAACTTCATTCATCTTAAAAACCATAACATCACCATGGCATTCACTTGTTCAAGAATTGGCAATGAATTCCTATTGTCTTGACCTGAATTCTGAGTTGAAGCTCAGAGTTTTAAATAAGTGAAAGCTTTGAAAAAAATTTCCTGAGATTGTGTGTAATATACATATTAAAAAGAATAACAAGTTGTCATTACGTTAAAATTTTTCACTTTAGTTAATAATAATCATATGCCTGGAAAAGAGCTTCTAGTTTCCTACTTTCAGATTGGGAAGTGTCTAAATATAAGTTGGCAAAAGACAAAAAAATTTGTAAATTCTAGCATTGTAACTCTGACCCCCCTTTTTTTTCAATTCTAGAGGCATATCAGAATACATGAGACTAAGAATGACATTCTCGTGTGTTCTAATATTTTTCCAAAATAAATTATTTCCTAACTTCTGTGTTTTCCTGCTGTTAATAAAGTACTTGCAGCTTGCCTCAAAATTATTCTTACTCTTGATCAAGACAATACAACTAAGAACCACATTCACAATGTTAGATTCAGACTCTTTCATGCGCTATATAATACATATTCTAGTCTGACTGTAAGCGAAATCTCAAGGTCAACTGATCCTTTCTCTTCCTCTCTGACTCCCACTTGACATACACAGGTATCTTTCTTGACTGCTTAAAGACCTTGAAACACATTCTGCAATTGTAAACATCCTTGCTTTTGTTCATTCTGACAGAAATAGTCTCCCACTTCAACAGTGATGAATTTTTCCCTACTCACATTGTACAAACACAAATGTCTGTTCCTCCGGGAAACCTTAACCCCATTTTAACCAAACCAAACCTCAGAATGTATTATGAGTTTCTCTCCTGTGTTCCTGCATCACTTTGTATCCTAATTTTTTTTTTTTCCTATCTCTTCCTCATTGTATCCTGTGAGTTGAATAAAGCCAAAAAAACAGGTTGTATTTCTTTGTATGCCCATAATCTAGCATAGTGCCATATGTAGAGAATACACTTGGGAAATGTTTGCTGGAGGTGCTTCAGTAAAGATGATAGGCAGAACTGATGTAGGCATCCTATTGATGCCATGTTTTGTTGTTAATTTTTGCTAAAGAAAAAAATACAATGCTTAAAGGTAAAAACGTTTGGAGTGAAAAGGTAATTTGTCCTTTTGTACAGAAATACTTTGAAGTTAATTTTCTTAAAGTACTTATATTCACACTAGCAGACTCTCAAGTTTTCAGAAGCTGATTATACAAGCCCTGTGCCTCCCTGACTTCCTCTTGTTAATACCTATCTTTGAGGATATCACTGCATGTTGCCACATCCTCCTGAGGATAGAAAGGTGAAATGAGACTCAAATTACTGCTTTTATAGCTCTAACTATCTCTGGAAGTATTAAGAGAGGATAAAAATATTGAAAGAGATACAGTGGGTTTCAGCTTATCTTTATAAGCTGTGTATCCAAATCTATATAGATCCTTTGTACATAATTAGCCATTGTTTTGTTTTAACTTGGTGGTATGTATCATTGTACTTTTTTATTCCTGAGCGTGTTTTAAAAAGGTATCGATGTAAGTGAACCTATGTATTCTCTGAGGTTAAATCTGTTCTGATAAAAATTAGATAATTTGGAAATCACCACTCAGTCATAGGCTTCTGTGTTAGTTTTCTGTTCTTTTATCTTAAGAAACAGTGAAATATAAACAGTGAAAGACTTTTTCCATTCCCATTCTTTTAGGAACACTGAAGTTAAGAGAAAGGCTGGTATCTTATTCAATTATTTATAAAAGGATAATTATTTTTAGAGCATTTCTCATATCTTAAACTTCTAAAATTTTCATAAGAGATAATGATAGATGGTAGGTACACAGATAAATAGATAAGCAAATTGGTTGGCATATCAGCTATATTTACTATTTATTTTACTATTTAATGTACAGTATTTAATAATGCATGGTATTGCCTGAAGAGCACCATTTAAACAGGTGTGGGGAACCTTTTTTCTGCCAAGGGCCATTTGGATATTTAAAACAGTATTCACGAGTCATACCCGCACTACCAACTTAAAAATTATCCTACTATCTTTGGATGACTGAAACTGAGGTTGCCTTGGCAGGACCAGACCTAATGATTTCGTGGGCCTTATACAGCCCAAGAACTGGATGTTCCCAACCCTGATTTAAAGCTTTGATTTAAAATGGCAGCATCTAATTTGTCATGTTTTCCAAAGATACTAATTTAAAACTAGAATCGTATGAAGATGAAAACTGTATCAAATTTGCTCTTCAATGTCTAAGGTTAAGCTGGTACCATAGGCATGTTATAAACAGGAAGTTATAAACAGCAGATACTCCCTTGAAAAGTTCACAATCACTAATATTATTTCCTAGCTCAGGAAGCTACTTGGCATGTGCATGTGGTACATTGCATCTGTAGCACTGCTTGATATTTTCAATGTCTTCGCATCTAGTTAATATTATTGCATGAGCTGATAATAACCACTGTGAATCTTCACAAGGTTGTATCAGTTTTTCTTTTCAAAACTAAGTGTATGGATTTATCTTTTAGATTTCCATGTAGAAGAGGCACTGGATTGGCCTGGAGTATACTTGCTACCAGGTCAGGTTTCTGGGGTGGCTCTGGACCCTAAGAACAACTTGGTGATTTTCCACAGAGGTGACCATGTCTGGGATGGAAAGTAAGTAATATTTGTTTTTCCTTTCAAAGAATAAGTGAAAATAAAAATCATGTGTATTACTTTTCATTAAATTAAGAGCAATGGTAAGAGACCTATAAAAGTTCTTTTTGAACTTGATTTTTGTGAGCAAATCGTATTTGTTCTTTTATTGCATGATGCTTCTAAATAGCAGAGTGGAAGTCTTGTGCATTTTATAACAATGTAGTTTCTCCAACTAGTTTATGCAAAGAAAACAGTAACAATCTATAATTCAGCCTGCTTAATATTGTGCTTCCCTTACCCAGAAGCTACCTTCACATCTCTAAGGGAAATAATATTCATTACAATTAAGTTAATACATTGCTGAAGAATTTTAAGACTTCAAAAAAGTGCATTATGATAAGCAGTCAATTAAGAATGGTTACTGGTTAGCTATAATAAGCACTTTATTTTTTACATTAACTGGGTGCAAAAGGGGAGCTTTGGTGGCACTTTAGGATAAGTACTGGACTATTAACCCCAGGGTCAGCAGTTCAAACTCACCAACTACTCTGTAGGAGAAAGATGAGTCTTTCTGCTCTCATAAAGATTTGCAGCCTCAGAAGCCCTACACAGGGTCTCTATGAGTTGGACTCGACTCAGTGGCAGTGAGTTTGTTGGGGTTTTTTTTGTCTGTTTACCAAAATATTCTCAGACCATTGTTCTGCCCCTTTTCATCAGACTGCTCCCTGATAATGATATGATTAGTGTTCTTGAGATTGTAGCTAGAGCTGTTTGTCCATCACCTATTAAAAATAGAATCTTAGCCTATATATTTTCATTTAAATAAATTTAATACTCAAATTTGTTTTTTTCATGAACACCAAAGACTTAAGAATCGCACTGAACTGTCGAGTAGACCTTGACTCTCCATGTGTGTCAGAGTAGAACCTTGACTCTTAGAGTTTTCAGTGGCTGGTTTTTCTGAAACAGGTTGCCTCTGGGTAAACTTGAACTGCCAATGTTTGAGTTAGCAGCAAAGTAACTGCTAGTATCCTTGTGTTTTTGCTCTAATTTTCCCTTTCCAACCTTTGATTCTCTATTTCATTACTTTCTGATAAGAACTTAGAGTAAACATTTCTAACATTATGAGTTTTCTATGACCTTTCACTGTTCTAATTTGTATCTCTATTACCTAAGAGTACTTAGATACTGTCATTATCATCATCATTCACATTTTACAGATGAAGAAGCCAAGAGAAGTATTTCTCCCAAAATCTCACAGTTAGCAAGTAGCAAAGCCAGATTTTAGTATATTTCTGTCTCATTTAACCACTTTATGATACTGCCTCTTATAGGATTGTAAGCACATCTTAGAAATCACATGATTGTATTTTTAAAAGCTTGCTGTAAAATTTAGCATCCTATTTTAACTCTAAAAATTAGCATATCGTTTTTATTCTCCCAGGTTATGAATATTTATATATTCACTTGTTTTATTATGAATTAACATATGAAGGTAAAACTATGCCTTATGAAATAAGTCTAATGTGTACAACTATAGAGTCTCATTTGGAAAGCAAAGGACTACATACATAGCTCAATTGTTTTTTCCTCCATTTTCAGAGATGTTGATTAAGTTTACGCCATATATCTATAGTATATAGTTTTCTTTATGCAGTTGATGATGGGACTTATTCAACATTTCAAAATAGACTTGTAGCTTTGTTGTTGCTTAATTGTCCTTTGCAGTTGTTACCCTTGAAAATGGAGTCTTAGATATCAGTTCAGAGTTCATAGCAAATAATCAAACTCATCATTTCCATTCACACATCTGTGTTACAATATCTTAGTCATTTTTGAACATCTAATGGTATTTTAACAAGAGCTTTTAAAAGCAAGCGATTACTACTCATTATAGCATATTCTTCATTTTAATGAATGTTGCTACATTTTCTGCATGAATTTCTAGCCACATTTTGCCAGACAAGAAAATTATAGCATCATTTTCTTCCATTGATACTGTTTCAGCTGGCTAACGTTAAATTGGACCAAGTCCAATTTTCAATTTTAATGTGGTATTTATTCCAAGTAAACACCAGAGGCTCAAATAATTTAATAGGAAAAGGAATCAAGAAAGACCAGCTTGGGGTAGGATTCACACAACTATGAAACAGACACCACAGAGAAACATGTGGCTTATATATGGCAGTCCTTGCTAAAGAACTGCTTTTTTTCCATGGCTTCCAGATAACCAGTATCATATATAAGTAGAATCCAGTTTCAGTGCCAATGACTTGGTATGTTTGCCCTGATAAATGGCATCAGCAAAGAGGTGTTAAAAATTCAAGACTTCTTCAGAGTCAAGGTGCTGATTTTACTCTTTTTGTTTTTTCTGTTTGTTCTTTCTCCTTCATCTTTATCTTTCAGATGTAAGAATATTTGTTATCTGTCTTTCCTCCTGCCTTTCCAATGCCAGTTGGCCTTTAGCAGCCTTTGCAATATACGATTGTGAGGAAATTCTCTTCTAGGGCGCACATCTCTGCTTTCAGCCCCTCTTTGCTTTATTATTCATGAAGAGAATTACGAGTGTATTACTCTGTTGATTATTCTTGTTGGAAAATGGATTCAGATTTGTGGGCTCTGTTTTTAGAACTGTCACACATGACTATCCTTCCTAAATATATAAGTCACATCATGTAAGTCAAAGTGCATATATTTTCTTCTTCATTAAAAATCTAAGGATTGTTCAAAGAATCAGATGTAACCTTCCTGCAGAATATACAAGGTGCTATTGAGAAAAAATGGAAATTAGAAAGATCGGATGGGAATTGTATTCTTGTTGCTACTGCTGCTTGGATTGAGTACAGAGAAATCTTATATTCATTTTCCTTGGGAACTTTTCCATCCATGTTATTTCTTAGCTTCAGAAAAGGCCAAGAAGGCTTCTTTCAAATGAAATCTAAGTACTCTATATTCCCTCATCCTCAGGAAGTATTCTTCAAATATCAAAGAAATGCTTGGAGTTAATAATAATCTCTAATTAGCATTTGGGCATTCTAGTGTGGTATTGTAGGGTAAACACAGGAACCCAAGGTTGGTGATTCAAACTCATCAGTCGCTCTTCAGAAGCTCTATACAGGATTGCTATGAGACGGAAGTGACTCAACAGCACTTAATGACAACAATGGATATTTACTATACAAATCTTATTTGATATCATTGCATTAACTCTATAAATTACTCTTAATTCCTACCTGGACAGCTCTGATCAGAACTTATTCTTCTATTTAACAACAGTGATAAACATGGCAACCAAAACAATAATAATAAACAGCCACTTAAACATCCAAAAGAGTTCTCAATTTTATTTCTATTTTATTTCCCTTCTGACCCTTCCTACATCTGGCTATATTAAGAAGCATCTTCTAGCATCAAAGGCAATGTCTAATACCAGCAAGGTGTAATGAAACTTTAAAGACCCTCTTGTCTTCCCTGGTATTAGGACAACATGGCAAACTTGTGTTCTTTAAAGTTTAAATGCCTCCCAGAAAAAACTAGTTAGCTCTCACCTCAATAGCAGGTGTTCATAGGTTTCTACCTTAAAGTAACCATCTTTATCATAAGCTTGAACTTCTGGTGGGTGTTGTGGATCAGCACTGGACTGCTAAACCACAAGGATGGCAGTTCAAACCCACAATCTGCTCCTCAGAAATCCTGAGCAGGGTTGCTATGAGGCAAACTGAATCAACAGCACTTAACAACAACAACAACATCAGAGGCTTGGAGTCCTGGTGCAGTGCTGTATCATAAGCACTGGACTGCTGACAACAAAATCAGTGGTTCAAACCCACCAACCGCTTCTAGAAAACCCTATACAAGATCACTATGTATAGGACTAATGCATGGCACTTAACAACAACAACAAAGGCCTTCGATGGGGGTGCTATCATTCAGGAGTCAGCCACATACCCATTTAACTAAATTATGGGTCTTGCCCCTGGTTTTTAGGGTTATAAGTTATTTCCTTTAAGTTGTTTATCATTTCTTCATACAGAGTTGGAAGGTACTTGAGAAAGTTTATCACTTCAGAATCTTCCTATCACCTGCAGAAGAATACACAATATGAAGAAAAGAGGGTATTTATTAGCTTATTTGGGGGGAATGCAGTGGCTGTGTGTGATAAGTGTAGAATTGTGAACCAATCCTAGTTCAAGCCCACCAGCCGATCAAAGGGAGAAAGTTGAGGCTTTCTGCTCCCACAAAGATTAACTGCCTTAGAAATTGTATATAGGGCACTGTGAGTCAGAACCAACTCCGTGACACTTAACAACAACAACAAAAACAATTAGTTTGTTTAAATGATGAAAGTGTCAAGGGATATGTTAGCCCAAACAATATCATCAACATCTATTTTTCAACCTATTTTATCCTGGTTAGCTTCATTCACAGGTTTTGATCGAACATTCCCTCCTACTTCCTGCCTGAGTTTAGAGATCATCTCAAGAACAGATTTGATGTTGTTGTTGTTGTTAAGTGTCATCGAGTTGTTACCTACCCATGGTGACCTTATGCACAGAAGAATGAAACACTACCTGATCCTGGGCCAACCTCACTACTGTTGCCACACTTGAGTCCATGGATGCTGCCACCTGGCCAATCCATCTCGTTGGGGGTCTTCCTCTTTCTCTCTGACCCTCCACTTTAACAAACATGATATCCTTCTCCAGTGAATGGTCTCTTCTGACAATATGTCCAAAGCATGAGAGATGAAGTTTGGCCATCTTGGCTTCTAAGGAGCACTCTGGCTGCACTTCTTCCAAAA